CCAAGAGACTCATGTAATGGTACAAGATCCCAATGATGAATGTAACTGTATTGTATACCTAAAATGTACCAATAAAGTTAATGGGGGGAAAAAAAGAAAAAAGAAGCTTAAGAGCATGTGGGAGTTCATGCTGGAATTGTGGAGAATGGGCCCTCCAGGCCAGGGAGGGACCATCCATCAGAGCAGATCTGCAGCTGTGAACAGCACCTCTCAACTCCTTCCCTCTACCTAAGGGAAGGAGCAATGTGGCAGCCATCTTTCCATCATGGCAACACAATAGCTGCTTTTGAGACCTGGAGAGAGCCAGACAGTGGGCAGCTGGGACGAGGACCTGAGCCAGCCAAACTGAGCCCTGGAACATTTGACTCAGCAGGAAGATGGCAGGCAGGGAGCAAGGAAGTCTCTTCCCCACACATCAGAGGCCTAGCTAAATGCATAGCCACACTGTTCCATTTTCACATGCTCTAAATCAGCTCACTCAATGCAGCTTGTGCATCAACCTTGGAGCCATGCTTCTACACATCCTGCCTCAGAACCTCTTGGCTAGAGACCTCTTCTTTGTTCTTGCTAATGGGGCTGAGGCAGGAAGATGATGAGTTCAAGGCCATCCTGGGCAACTTGAGAGGTCTCTGTCTGAAAGTAAAAATGAGTAGTGATGTAGCTCAGTAGGAGAATGCTTCTCTTGCATGCGTGAAGCCCTGTGTTCAATCCCCAGCAACACACAAATATGATTAAATAGCAAGCCATTTATGTTATGAATAAATACAGTGTAGAGACAGAAGGGACCCTTCAGGAGGGTTAAAGAAAACCTGAGCCCTTTTTGAGGACAGAAATAACAGCCTTTGTGTGGCTATGAGCAGCAAGCAACTTTTAAGCCAATGTGTAGTTTGAAGCTGACACACAGTAGTTTTGACCCCTGTCTCTGTGCAGGCAGCACTGTCCTCCTGTGCAGGTTGCCATGCCTACCCAAGTTCCCTATTAGCCTGCAAGATCAAATCCAATATCCAATCAAACAAGTGTCCACCCTCCAGGAGATGGAAATGAAGCCCCTACCCATAAAATAGGACCACAGCCCCAGATTCAGTGCTGTCCCAGTCCTAGGAGTGGCTCTTTACCACTTCCTCTTGCAATTCCTACAATAAAATTAGTCACTTTTCACTGATCTTCTGTTCTGATTCTTCTTCCTCTTTCTACATGAGAGAAGGTGAGAGACAAGCCTGGCAAGGGTGAGTCTGAGGACCTTAGACCCCAGAGTCACTGGACAAAACATAATTGGGGGTTCATATAGGATGGAAAGAAGACCACTCAAGACCACTGGACATGGTCAATATACTCAGCCCAAGAGGACACTCTGTTCTCTTCTCAGCTCACTTTCTGGAGACACCCCTCACCACTATCTAGTACAGTAGAAATCTGGCTGGGCCCCTTTTTGGTGTTAGGGCACCTGGTTGCTGGGAGGATTGAGTGTAGTCTCCAACTGACAAGGAAGAGACTAGGATTTTAGTCTTAGTGGCAGATTTGTATAAGTGTCGGAATGCCTATGCTAAGAGGGGATCCTTCAGGCCCAGTTGTAAGGGCAAACAGGAAATACCAACAGGCACCCAGGACTTGGAGGCAGAAAGCAAAATTTATTCACCTTGACAGGCCTGGTTGGTGTTATGCCAGGCAAGTGAGAAAAATCACCAAACACTAGGACAAAGACAAAGTTAAAACTGAAAGGAGTTTATTCACATTCGTGGACTCCACCCTCTAAAAGGAGTAAAGCCCAGAAGCAGGGGACAGCACAGCTTTTATAGGTAACTCAAAGAAGTTCAGGCAGAGGTCAACATGTTCTTCAACCGGCTGCAAAATATCTTTCACAACCCAGCTTCTTTTCAACCCTCCTATCTTGTCAAGATAGGACATTCTGTGGCTACAGGGTTCAGTGGTTACAGGGAGGCACCAGGCACCATCTGTTCCCAGAGAATGATAAAGCATATCTACAGAAGCAGAGCCAGCGATTAGAAGGGCAGTTACAAAAATACATCTTTAGGAGAATTCCAGCATTCTGTAAGGGGAGGGGTATGAGGGGAGTTCACTCATAGGCCAAGATGGCATTACTTAGGTTCACTTTTGGTCTCACATTCCCCACTGGTTTTTGTACAAACTCAAACCTTTGATTTATGTCTGTCATATTTTTTCAGGCAAGGGTTTATACATTTGATTCAGCACCATAATCGTCAAATTTAATAATCTATGAACCGCTGAGAGTACATACAGTAAGGTAGGCATTGTATGCCACAACATGATAACAACAAACATATGATTACAATTATGACTACAAGAAAAAGCTGTTTTAACCATTGCATATTAGGCAACCATTGAATTAACCATTGAAACAAATCCCATCCTAATTTTTCATTATGTATTTTCTCTGTCAATTCTTCTGATTGTTTTATTTTTTCCTGAATCCCTGGGCTATTGTCAGTCATATTAAAACAGCACATATTTTTTATTTTTTCACATCCTAGATGATGGAACAAGAGCAAGTAATCTATTGCTGCCCTGTTGTCTAGCATAGCCTGTTGGTCTTCTTGTAACTCCTGATTAATTAATGCCAAGGCAGATGAGGTAGCATTTAGACCTTTGACCACCTTGCACGACAATTTTTGTACCACCTTTTCTGCATGAATTCCTGTGGCAGGCTGAGCAAGCACAGATACTATCATAGGTATCACTTGAGGATCTGTCAAGAGACCTACATCATCATCACATCCTGGTTCAATATAGGGTGACCAATGTTTAATTCTTTTGGGCACTATCAAATCAGTTTGATCTGGCAATATTATGGCCAAGTGAATTAGGCAGCACCGAGTCTCAGACAAGTAGGCAGGGATATAATTAAACATTACTCCTTCACATGTATAAAACCATCCTGATGGTAAAGGCACATGACCATCACTATATATGATTTTTTGTTCCTCATAACAGGTCATTTTTTCTGACCTTTTTAATCTTAGACATTTTGTAGTACAATTTTTAAATACAGCACATTGTATATTGTTTAACGTAATCATCTGAGGTGTGTATAACTTAATAGCATTTTTTGGTTTAGAATAAGAGGGGGTTCCCCCAATTGTAACTATCTTCATATGTAAGATTTTTTCCTGGGATGTCTTTAAACAGAGTATAAGGTTGTATCAGACTCAAGGGAGTGCACACCAGGATGAGACAACTCCCTAATACATAATGTAAATTTATATCTACATTTAAACAGAACTCAGACAAATTAAGTGATTGTGCCAGCTGAATCCAAACATTACCAGTAAGGTCCAATTGTTTTGGGGGTAATATTGCCAATGTTTCAGAAAATAGTGACTTAAAAATAATGATCATAATAAAAGTTGAATTATGGGTCAATATAGTAAACATTATTATTCCCAACAAAAGTAATCCATCAGTTTCCCTTTTTACCTCTTGGACCTTATAAAATTTTTATTTGAATCTAAGAACATTTTATTAGAATAGAGAGGGAGAGTCCAAAAGGAATCATGAATATATTTTATAGGATTTGCATTTATGTCTATCCATTTACCATCATTTTTCTAAGCCAAAACTGACTCATAACCCCACTCAGCACAGTAAGGGGGCCTTCCCTGACACTTTGAAGGGCCAGCTGAACTGCAACAATAAAATGACAGGCTATCAGCTGAGGCAGCCAGATTACCCAGAGTATTTATCACGGACCACATTACATTTCTGTAGGTTGCACTTGTGGGTTTCCAGTGGGGACAGAACAGTTGGCAAAGAGACACATTTTTAAACTTTAGATCACTTTGGTCTGGCCCAAACTTTACCTGTCTATGTATGTGTCCCGTGTCAGTTTCCCAGAGCTGTCATTCCTCCCACTGGGGCAGTCATCCCAGCCGTTGCCTTCTCACACATTCCAGCATTAACAAGAAGGTGATGTATTTCCAACTCGTCCCGGTCTTAACTTTTTGTCACCTGGTTGGCTGATGACCCTCCATTTGTCCTCCGGGGTGTCCTCAGGAGCCGCTTTGATGTGGCAGTGATGTATCCACAGTGTTTTTCCCATGACCTTTACGGTGGATGGCATCATCAAGATCACCTGGAAAGGTCCCTCCCAATGTGGCTTCAGAACCTTAGACGAATGTCTCTTTACCAGCACCAGATCTCCAGACTGAAATTTATGGTGGGTGACATCAGGTTGAGGGGCCGGCCTAGCCTCCTGAACTCAATTTCGCAGTTCCTGTTGGATTACCTGGAGGGCTTTTAAAGAATTTAACAAAGTATGATTTTCACATTCTGATACATTTTCCAAATTTACCCTGGGTAGTAAGGGAGATGGTCTCCCAAACATGATTTCATAAGGAGTTAACTTTTCTATATAAGGAGTGCATCTAGTTCACAAGAGGGCCAGCAGGAGAAGGTCTGGCCAGCTTCCTCCAGTCTCCAAAACAGTTAATGTTTCCTTTAATGTTTGATTCATCCTTTCCACTTGCCCTGAACTTTGTGCCTGATAGGCACAATGAAGTTTCCAATCAATGTTAAGGGCCTTGGTCACCAATTGGGATACCTTAGCCATAAAGGGCGAGCCATTGTCAGACCCCAGAGTATGGGGGAGGCCAAATCGGGGGATGAGCTCCTGTAACAACTTTTTGCTGACTATTGTAGCTATCTCTACATTAGTAGGGAAGGCTTCTACCCATCCAGAGTAAGTATCTACCCAAACCAACAGGTACCTATATCCGTGGCTGGGCTTGACTTCAGTAAAATCCAATTCCCCAAATTCCCCGGGATGCTCACCTCGGCATCGGGCTCCCTCACCTGTGGATGTTGACTTGGCATTTATCTGGGCACATGTCTGGCACCTAGAACAGATATCTTGGACCATGACAGCAGGTCTCGGAGTCAAAAACCTGGAGCTCACTAGTTGTCTGAGTTTCCTTTCTCCAAGGTGAGTAAACTGGTGTATTTGTTGAATTAGCTTTTGGCCAAGGGCCTGAGGCAAGCAAACTTGGCTGTCGGGATGACGCCACCATCCATTTTTATCTTTTATAGCTCCCACCTGGGCATTTTGTTCCTCTTCCTCTGATGAGTAATGTGGCTTAGTCGCTTAGTCAGCAGCTAGGAAAAACCTTTAAGGAGCAGGGTAGGGGCCATCCCCACTGGTTTTCAGCAGCCAGTTTAGCAGCTAGATCAGCCTTTTGATTTCCTATAGCCTCTGGTGTGTCAGGCCTCTGATGTCCCTTGCAATGTATTATAGCCACTGATTTAGGCTTCCATACGGCTTCTAGTAAAGCTAGGATCTCATGTTTATTTTTGATGTCCTTTCCTCCTGATGTGAGCAGACCCTATTGTTTATATATCTCTCCATGAACATGTACAGTTGCAAAGGCATACCGACTGTCCATGTAGATATTAACAACCTTTCCCTCACCCAGGTTTAAGGCTTGAGTGAGGGCTATCAGCTCTGCTCATTGGGTGGAAGTTCCAAGGCCTAGGGCAGTGGCCCATCTCGTTACTCCCTGGCCATCTACCACCGCTGCCCCCACATACCTGACTCCTTGTTCGATGAAGCTGTTCCCACCCATGAAGAATGTCTCCTCAGGGTCCTCCAGGGGCATATCCTGCAAATCGGGCCTGGTCACAGTTATATCCTGGAGGGTCTCCTGGTAGTCATGTAGCAGAGTTGTCGTGTCTGAGGCTGGCAGCAGGGTTGCAGAGTTTAGGGTAGTGGCTTCTGTGAACTTGATCTGGGGGTGGTCAATCAGGAGTGCCTGATATTGAGTCAGTCTAGCATTTGATATCGAACACTCAGAGCCTCCTCGTAGCATGGAGGAGACTGTATGTGGCTTGCTGATCATGAGCCCCTATCCCAAGCTTAGTTTGTCTGCCTCCTTTATGAGGAGGGCTGTCTCCACGATGGCTCTGAGACAGGGTGGCCAGCCAGCAGCCACAGGATCAAGTCTTTTAGACAAATAAGCCACGGGTCTTTTCCAGGGTCCTAAAGTTTGAGGACCCCTTTTGCCACTCTGTCTTTTTCAGCCACGAACAATTGGAAAGGCTTTCCGATATCTGGGAGAGCCAAAGCTGGTGCCTGAACAAGGGCTTGTTTTAAGGTCTCAAACACCCTCTGTTCATTCTCTGTCCATACTAAGGTTGTGTTCCCTCTGGCTGTGGCTGCATATAAAGGCTTTGTGATCTCCACAAACCCTACAATCCAGAGTTGGCAGTAGCCAGCAGTTCCCAGGAACTCACGCACCTGTGTTTTTGTGGTGGGTGTTGGGATCTGTAATATAGCTTTTTTCCATCTCTGGGACAATTGTTGAGTGTCCCCGTCAATTTCATACCCAAGATAAGTGACCTGGGAAGCACAGATCTGGAACTTTTGGGCTGACACTCGATATCCCAGTTTCTGTAACAGTCTCAACAAGTCTTTAGTAGCTGCCATACAGGTGTCCTGATCATCAGCCGCTACTAGGAGGTCATCTACATACTGGAGAAGGGTCACCTCAGGATGAGATGCTCTGAACGGAGCCAAATCCCTATTTAGAGCCTCATCAAACAGAGTGGGAGCATTTTTGAACCCTTGTGGCAGTCTTGTCCAGGTCAGTTTTCCCGAGTACCCTCCTTTAGGGTCCACCCATTCAAAAGCAAAAAGGGGCTGACTCATCTCAGCCAATGGCAGACTGAAGTCATCTTTGAAGTCCAGCACAGTATAGACTTGTTGTTGTGGGGGCAGGAGGCTTAGCAGGGTATAGGGATTTGGCACAGTGGGGTGTACAGTCCCAGTTCTTTTGTTTACCTCTCAGAGGTCTTGGACAGGCCTGTAGTCAGAAGTACCAGGCTTTTGGACAGGCAAGAGTGGAGTGTTCCAAGGTGATTGGCACAGCTTTAAGATTCCAGCATCTAGGAGTCTATTGATGTGCATTTGAATCTTTTCTTTTGCCTCCTTCTTGATGGGATACTGTCAGACAGAAACTGGCTGGGCATTAGATTTTATACAATACATTTACATTTATCATTGGGTGTTTGTACCTGAACATGATGTATCTTAGTTCTTATTTTTTTCCCCATTACCTATGTGCCCTTCACCCCCACCACCCTTCCCTATTTACATAGACTTTGTTTCCTTTTTCTTTCTTTCTTTCTCATAATTTTTCCTTTCCTTTATTCCCTTTCCCCTTCCCCTCCTGCCACCCCTACCCCTTTGGACCTTTTCCTATTTCAAATTATCAATTATTCATTTTAATCATTTTCATCCTTATTTACAATTTCAGTTTCTCACACTAGAGAAACTATTTGGTATTTACACGTGTGTCCTATTTATTTCACTTAAGAGTATGGTCTCAATATGCATCCATTTAGCTATAAATGACTCTAGTTTCTCATTCTTTATGGCTGAGTAGTACTCCATTTTATTAAAAAAAAAACACACATATTCTTTATCCAGTTTCCAGTTGATGGGCACTTGGACTGTTTCCAAACCTTAGCTATTACAAATTGTGCTGCTATAAACATAGGTGCACATATATCGCTGTGGTATGATTCTTTTAATTCTTTGGGGAAGATATTCAGTAGGGGAATAGCTGGGTCAAATGGGACCTCTAGCCCTAGTTCTTTGAGGTATCTCTATACGGATTTCCACAGTGATTGAACCAGTCTACACTCCCACCAACAATGGAGAATGGTTCCTTTCTCTCCACACCCCCACCAGCATTTATTATTGGTTGATTTCTTGATAGCAGCCATTCTTTGTAGGGAGAGTGGGTATTAGATTTTAAACTGACCACTATTGGAATTTGGTGGCTTGCCAGTCCAGGGGGGTTAGTTTCAGCCCGTACAAGTGGAAATTCTTTTTGTAAAATTTCAATATTATTGGGGGATTCATCCTTTGGCTCTGCAAGTAACAGGTATTCAGAAGTCAATGGACAAGTCACCATAATCTTGATAGTCCCCTGAGGGATGCCTAGTTTTAAATTTGCCTTTTCTTCTGTAAAGGTAATTGTGGCTCCCAATTTTCTCAACAGGTCCCTACCTAGCAAGGGGTATGGACACTCCGGAATCACCAGAAAGGAATGGGTTACTTGCCTGTGACCCAAGTCTACCATTCATGCAGTTGTCCACTTATAACCCTGAGCGCCCTTGCCAGTAGCCCCCGTACCAAAGTCTCTCGTGTTGTCAATTTTCCCAAAGGTTTAGTCAGTACCAAATGGGTCACCCTGGTATCTACCAGGAAGTTGGCTGGTGTGCCCCCAATTTTTAATTTCACCATGGGCTCATGGGGGCTCAGTTTGAATGAGCCCTGATTTTCCTATTCCATATCTTCATAGGTCAGAACTTCCTTTGTCTTTTTCTGCTTCTGTCCCTCTTTTTCCTTCTTGAGGGGACACTCATTTTTCCAATGTCCAGTCTATTTGCAATAGGCACATTGGTCCCTTCTGAGCTTAGCCCACAGGGGTTTCTCTGGCTTAGGTCTCCCAGTCTGTTTACTTGTCTCATAATTTTTGAGAGCAGCAATAGTAACTTTTCCTAGCCACTTGGCAACTGCCTCTTCTGGGGAGTCCTGATTGTCAAAAATCTTTTGTGCTATACTCAGGAGCTCGGACCTGTTCTTTCCCTCAAATCCTTCCAATCTCTGAAGTTTCTTTCTAATATCTGGGGCTGACTGAGACACAGAAGCCAGATTTATCATGGCTGCGTTTTCTGGAGCATCAGGATTAATAGGTGTATAGACCTGATACGCCTCTAGAAGGTGCTCCAGGAAAGCCTCGGGGGACTCTGTCTTATCCTGTTTTACCTCACTCAACTTGGTCAAATTAGTCGGCTTCCTAGCCGCTTGGTGGAGTTCCTGTAAAAGGTGCTGGTGGTAACTGGCCAGGTCTCTCCTACCTGCATCAGCATTGGGGTCCCAGTCTGGTTGGCAGGTTGGCACCTCGGCCTCTGCTCACTACAGATAAGCCAGAGTGCCAGGACTGAGGTCTGGGTTTGGTCCCAGGGCTGCCTTAATGGCCTCTTGAAAAATTTGGTCCCGTTCCTCTGTAAGTGAAGAGGGTGTGGAGCAACTGCTAGCAGTCATCCCAGGTAGGCTGATGAGTATGGAAAACAGATTCTAGGAGGTGAATCAAGGCCTGGGGTTTCTCTGAAAAAGGGGGAACTTGATTTTTCCAATTATAAAGGTCACTAGTAGTAAAGGGAATGTACACGAATCCACCACCTGGCTCAGCCTGTTTTAAAGCAAGGACTGTGGACGTTACCTGACTAGTTGTCCCTTGTGACTCATAAGCTTGTCCCAATCAGGTATGAGGGGGAGACAGGGGGTCAGATGGTGCAGTTGGGGCAGAGGGATTAGTGGGGGTGGAATCAGAAGGGGAGTCAGGGTCTTCTTCAGGTTCTTCATCCTGGGCCCGATATAGGGGTGGACGAGGACGGAAGTCGTCCTCATCCCATGGAGCCTGGAAAACCTTACATTTCAAAAGAGGCTTAGTAACAAACACATCCACCATCTCTTGGGAACTCTTCCATCGGAGGAAATGACAACGGACCTTATTTTCACTAAACCTAGATGACTGGGCAACTCTCAGACAGGTAAGAAAAGAGGTCTTCTACTAGGTCCATCCAAACATCAATATAAGGGAATTGATCTCGGTGATGGGGCCCTCCTTTTCCTGTGACCCGATTCGAAACCTGTTGGGTAGTTTGAATGCTAAAAGTTCCCACACTTGGCCATCCCACCCCTAACAATTGCCACTCTAATTGACACAGGGTCTGGAGTTTTCCTTTTGAGAACTTGATGCCGAATTCATCTGCTTTCTGTGGAGTATAAATTTGAGAAAAATATTGTAAAACACATTTAAGGGGGGTGGAGGGGGTAGATTGTCTGGCTCCCATGGCTCACTGTAGAACAAAACTGAAAGCAAAAGGCACACAGAGCAAGCTGACAGACAACAAACAACAGATACACAGATATTTAGACAGATTATAGTCTTCTTTACCAAAAGGATAAATTGACCAGGGGACTTCCCACCATCACGGCAAAGTCCCAGGCATGGGAATTAGTGCTGCATCTGACTTCCCTTTCACCCTCTGTAGGATCCACTGACTGAGAATCATGAGATTTTTACCTGGCCTCCAGAGGTTTTCCAGATAAACTCCCTTCAGGATGGCTGGAACAACCTGAATCCTCCGCTCAGGGCCCAAGCTCCCAGGGTCCTGATCAAATGGTCAGGGTGGCCTCCCCGGGCCTATCTTGGGCCACGGTGGCCTGAGACAGGGGCCGTCCACCAGACAAAAGTCACCGAGTGATGGTCATCTCACTGGGGCCTCCAAAATGTTATACCAGGCGAGCAAGAAAATCACCAAACACTGGGACAAAGACAAAGTTAAAACTGAAAGGAGTTTATTCATGCATGTGGACTCCACCCTCTGAAAGGAGTGAAGCCCAGAAGCAGGGGACAGCACAGCTTTTATAGGTAACTCAAACAAAGAAGCTCAGGCAGAGGTCAACATGTTCTTCAACCAGCTGCAAAATATCTTTCACAACCCAGCTTCTTTTCAACCCTCCTATCTTGTCAAGATAGGACATCCTGTGGCTACAGGGTTTGGTGGTTACAGGAAGGCACCAGGCACCATCTGTTCCCAGGGAGCAATAAAGCATATCTACAGAGGCCAGGGATTTAGTTCAGTGGTTCCACTGCCTGCCTTGCAAGGACAAGGACCCGAGTTTGATCCCCGGTACCAAAAAAAAAAAGCATATCTACAGAAGCAGAGCGAGCAGTTAGAAGGGTGGTTACAAAAATACAACTTTAGGAGAATTCCAGCACTCTGCAAGGAGAGGGGGTATGAGGGGAGTTCACTCACAGGCCAAGATGGCATTACTTAGGTTCACTTTTGGTCTCACAGTTGGAATAATTCCTCAGAAAACCAGGCACTGTCTTTCTGTCTGTCTAGAGTTTATATAGGATTTCCAAGCAGGAACTAGTACAGAAATGGAACAGGCAGTTGATTGGTTACATAAATAACATCATTATTACTGATTGGTCTAAAGCAAGGTCAAACTCAGGGTAAGAAACATTAATTTTAGGGTAAGGTTGGCTAGATAATGAAGACACATATTTGGAGTAAGCATCAGTTCTGGGTAGGGTCTGCCAAGGAGGACCAGATGAGAAAGGCACATACTTAAGAGTGGGCATACATTACATTCCAGAAGGTGGGCTAGATAAGGAAGAGTATACAACAGTTCTGGGTAGGGTCTGCCAAGGGGGAGCAGATAAGAAAGACATGTACTGGGCTCCAGGGCTAGAAAAGAGCATTGATGCCAGCACCAGCAATGAATTCCAGGAGGCACAGTCTGCCCTGTGACCCTGAGGAGCAGCAGAGGCTGCTGGTGGCCTCTTTGCAGATGTATTGCTGACCTTGAACATCATCCCATTTGAAAGTCACAGTGAAGCTCAGCCATCAGTATGTCCAAGTACAAACTTATTATACTGAGACATGGAGAGGGTGCTTGGAATAAGAACTGATTTTGTAGCTGGGTGGATCAGAAACTTAACAGTGAAGGATTAGAGGAAGCCCAGAATTGTGGGAAGCAACTCAAAGCACTAAACTTTGAGTTTGATCTTATGTTCACATCCATCCTTAATCAGTCCATCCTCACAGCCTGGTTGATCCTGAAAGAGATGGGGCAGGAATGGGTCCCAGTGGAAAGCTCCTAGCATCTAAATGAGTGTCACTATGGGGCCTTGATTGGGCTCAACAGGGAGAAAATGGCTTTGGATCATGGTGAAGAACAAGTGAGGGGTGGAGAAGAAGTTACAATGTGACCCCACCTCCCATCAAGGAGTCACATCCCTACTGTCATGAAATCTACAACAACCGGAAGTATAAAGTGTGAGATGTTCCCTTGGATCAGGTGCCGCAAACTGCAAGCTTAAAGGATGTTCTGGAGAGACTTCTTCCTTACTGGAA